TTTTAAGTTAGAAAATGGTTTTCCCTTTTTCCCCATTCTGCCCCCTTCTCTCAAAAGAAGATATTAATAGGCTTCATAATGGGTAGCTGTGGAGGGGGGGGTGTTTTTTTCTGAGAGGCAACATGGTGTATTAGAATGTTCAAGAAGGGAAGTGTAAGGGGTCTTGCCTCTCCTCTGGCATTAACTCCTCCGTGACTTTGAAAATCCCCCTCTTCCCTGATGATCTCTTTCTGGCAATATTGTGAGTCCACACCTGGGGTTGCAATAGCCGTTAATATGCTATCGGCATCATTAACCGGAGTTGCTTCCCCTCGCCCCCTAGGTGTTTAGATAGTGGCTTGTGTTTTTTAAAACCAATATTGATCATTGTTAGTTTTCACCTTATAGACACGTCTCCAGGTAAAAATAATCTCCGTCTCTGCACAAAGAAGGATGAACACAAAAGAAATTCTATAAATAGGATTTTATGGAGTGGAAAAAGTTGGCGTCTAAATTTCCCATGAGATGTTGGTAGTTGTTGAAAGGAAATGGGGATGATCATTTCAAATCCTTCTATATTTGGGATCCTAATGAACTTGAATGATTTGTGATTCTCTCCCATCATCTGTGCCCAAATTCCTTTGATTCTAAAAACAAAACATTTCTTCAAGCTGTTTTTGCATCATGGAGGAAGGCTGGGAGTACTTGTCACTTCCCCACATGTTCCAGGCACTAAGCTAGTCCTCAAAACAGTTTCGTATGGTGAGTAGCCTGATTTTTGTACAAATAAGGGAATTTAGATGCAGAGAGTGTCAGTGACTTACTCAAGGTCACACAGCAAGTTCAAGGTTCAGGATCCTGTGCGTTTGACTCCACAGCTCAATTTCCCCATGTACATTGCTAGCCCATATTAGGAGTTTTTCTGGCTTCTCATGGCACCATATTGATTGGACTCCTCTTCTACTGAAGACTTTATCCTTTAGACATTTGAAGAACTGCATCCCAGGACATTAAGGGAAACTGTCTTAAGGATTCAGGGCTACCAAGGCTTCACATTTTTACCCCAGACTCTGAGGTCACTTTCACTTCCGAGAGTGGTACCCGAGACTGACTCTGCTTTGCATCACTTATTGGGCCCAGAATACTGCCTGATGTAGTGGACACAAAATAAATTCTGCATTGAGTGGATGGATGGATGAAAATTAATTCTAAAGTCTTGAACCCCAGAGTCCTTCCCTTTTGGAATGTCTATTGAGAATGTTATAACCACAGAGACAAATCTGGAAGAACCTGAATTCCAGTGACCCTGTCATTGTCCCAGCCTTATATCCCAGAGATTCCCAGCAGGGGCTCTCTACTGTCTCCTGATTTCCTGGGACCCCCGGAGACTTTGAGTCTTGCATCCTGGGTTCTTCCTGGGGCCCAGGGCTGGGCCACCTCACCATATCTCCCCAAAGCTCCCAAGTCGGCCACCCTACTCTCCAGAGGATGACTTGATGTGAATTCCAGCTGTGTAATTTCGGGCTGAGTCTCAGCTTACCCATCACTGAAATGGGACTAAGAATACTTCCCTCATAGAGCAGTTGTAAAGACCCAGAGAGCTAATGGGCAGGAAAAGGCCTGGCATGCAGATGGTGTCCCCCAAACTGCCTACAGAATCCAAATCCTTTTAAAGCACTTCCTGCCCGCTGCAGCCAGCATGGATTCCTCCCGTCCCCGTCCCCGCAGCAGATGTTGCGATCTGTACTTGCCGGCATCACCCGGGAGAATGAGTTTCCTTGGAACGGGGATAAGTGGAGAATTCTTTTTGGTAAATTACGGCTCCTGCTAAAGGGTCGACACTTCTATTTTCCACCTGTCAGGAGAAAAAATAACTACACACCAGCGGTCAGTTCGGTTTCACTCTTTATACTCTATTAACCCACAGAGCAAGCTGCAGCGCTCCTGTCCTGGGGGGAGCAGGGAGCCCAGAGGACACTCATATGATAATTAGAGAAAACCATGGCCACGCCCTTCCTGATGAAGCTTTGGGAGGGAGCAGTGCAGGGCGTTGGAATACCTGGGGAGAGACGAGCCCCGCCCCAGGGAACCCAATAGAGATAGTCATCATGGTGACCGGGGAAGTGACAAGCTCAGCGTCCACTGACATGTTGTTACTGGGGCTCAATAACTGTGCACTGATGTGCTTTGAAGTCTGCCACCGTGACTGGTGATTGAAATATGGAGCCAGCCCAGGAGGAAGCAGGATGTGAATTGATGGCTTAAGAAATATGCACAGGGCTGGCAGGGAAGAAAGGAAGGTAATGGGGTGAAGCCAGAGAGTGTGCTAGCATATAAGGAGCACCAGCCTCGATCCATGCTCCTGCCAGCACACTTCTGGCACCCTTGTTAGGGATGTGCGTGGGTTTGGAGAGGGGCCTCTGCAATGGCCAAATCCTGCTTGCCAATCAACCCCTGGCCTGTCGGCTTCCTAAGGAAGATATTCACACAAGGGATGATGACAAATGGAAGCACAAAGAACCATTTTATCATTAGCTGGGGGCGATGGATGTGGACATGTTTGGAAAGTTGAAAGCAGCATTGGATGTAGTTCAGCCAATGGACAGCTATCCCAGAGGTCTCACTTTCAGGGTTGTTGCCGGGAGCCGGTCCATGCTTGCTGTTTCAAGGGACCTGGCATATATGGCATACTGTTCTTAATATGTTTGCTCACCTTCTTGGCACTATGTGTTTTAACCAAGGTCTCTGAGAAAGGTTGTTTCCCCAGGTAGGGATTTTCCCCTGAAGTTAGGGAGGGAATAAAACCTCTTAACTAGTGCCAGGTGGGTAATTAATCACTTTAACTATGAACAATCATGCTTAAGCTACATAATCTTTACTCTCTGGAATGGAGATAAGAAACGCCCTAACCTTTGTAATAGAGATTGATAGGATTGAGTCAACTGGTATAAATACAGATGTAATAAGACAGCGACAGACAGAACTTAGAATACGGAACCAGAAGAAGACAGAACCAGGAGGCACAGAACCTACACAGAACGTTCTCTAGAGACAGAAGAACTTCGCTGGAGAGAACATGGCAAAAGATCCTGGACAGAAACTGACCTCAGAACTTAGAGACAGAACCTAGCGAGAGAACATGGCAAAAGATCCTGGACTGAACCTGACTACAGAAATTGGCAAGAGAACCTGACTAGAACCTGGTGACCGAACCTGGATGGAGAACCTGGACAGAACCTGGCTGGAGAACCTAGCAAGAGAACATGGACACAGAACCTGGCTGGATATCCTGGCTAGAGATCCTGGCTAGGCTGCTGATCAACTGAACAGTGTCTCCATGTCATTCCTTCTTCGCCGACTCCTTCCACACCTTTGGGGACCCCTGGACCTGCTGGGGTTGGACCCTGGCAGGTTGTCAGGCAAATCCAGCCAGTGTTGGGATCTCCTCACAGCACAGGCCAGGCCAGGGGAGCCGAGCCCTGCACCCACACATTGACTTGCCAGCAGCATTCCTCCAGACTGGACAGGGCCACTCACCACAAGGTCAGCCACAGGCAACCTCTCACAGGCCGAGATGGCTCAAGTTCTGGAGGAAGAGAGGAGAAAGGGGAAAGAGATGGAGGGGGAGCCAAGAGTTGTCATGTGCCAGGCACCATGCCAGCTCCTCATCTCATCTTCAGATCAGCCATGTGGGCGGGTATTATTATCTTCATTTAGAGACCAACAAATAAAGGCTTGGAGGTTTAAGTAAGTCGCAGGATTTCAATCCTGGTCTGTCGAATGCCCAAATCGTGCTCTTTTTTGTGTGCCAGACTGCCTCCCCACATTTCCAGACCAAAAAAAAAAACCAACAAATAAGACACAATTGGGGAGGAGGAGGATTCCAAACACCCTGTGACTTGTCAGCAGGGCGCACCATTGCTGACATCAGACTGAGAACCTGGCTCTCTTGGCCTCTCTGCTTGTAAACTAGGGGAGCTCAGAGCCCTGCCCTCTCCCTCCTCCTGTGTTTTCAGGTGACTCCCCTAAAGTCAGAAATGAGCATCAGGGGTCCCCAGCGATGCTGCCTCAGCCCACACACAGGGTGTGGGGAGCCTTGCCATTCTGCGCTGGGAGTTCTGGGCTTACAGTGCTGACTCGGGCCATGTAGAATCTCCGGGTGACAGACTGAGATGGTCAAGTGCAGAGGCGTTGAGCCCCTGTCTGCATATTTGGCCCCAGGACTTTCCTGGTGAGTGTTTCCTGGGAGAGGGGGTCACTTCTGCACAGCAGTGACACCTGCATGGGTGCCGGTGACATGCTGTTATCACTGTCACTGAGCGTGCCTCTGTCAGCTGTGGGGCACTGGCCGGAGAACACGGCACTGCAGGCCTGGCTTTCCTTCCCTCTGCAGAGACCAGCGGAGGGGAAGGGGAAGACACGTGTAGGGTGTGTTTTGGAATGTGGAGTCCCCATTTCCTCTGCAGAGCAGACAGAAACCTACATGGATGTGTAGGGACAGGTGGGCACACTTCATTACAGATGACTGCTCTTTGCAGCCCATTAAAACCCTAATTAGCCAGTACAGGAGCCCACATGATCTAACCCAGCCGTGGGCAAACTGCAGCCCGTTTGAAATGAATAAAACTATCAAAAAAAAAGACCGTACCCTTTTATGTAATGATGTTTACTTTGAATTTAGATTAGTTCACACAACACTCCATCCATGCTTTTGTTCCGGCCCTCCGGTCCAGTTTAAGAACCCATTGTGGCCCTCGAGTCAAAAAGTTTGCCCACCCCTGATCTAACCTCAACTTACATTTCCAGCCTTCTCTCCCACCGTTCCCTGCCATGCACCCTTCCTTAGCTCCAGCCCTGGGAAGGGAAGGCCTATCATATAAGGAGCACCAGTCTCATCCAGGCACCTGATATGATCATTAGAGAAAACCGTGTGGGGACACAGCCCAGGCAGAGGCCTGGACGCAAGACAGAACAGGATGGGTTTGGCGCAGTAGTGACGTGTCCCTTCTCGTCTTTTGCAGGAATTGCAAGCTGAGCAGCAGCAGCTTGTCTATGGCCGCCGTGGACATCCTCTACATCGACATCACAAGGAGATGGAACTCCATGACCCTGGACCAGCGGGATTCAGGTACCTGGTGACTGGCCTCCACCATGACCCGTGGGAGTTCAGTACATTTTCTATTCCTTCTCTTTCAGGGTCAAGGTGGGGGAAGGAGAAAGGTTATTCCATCAGTGTGAGGGATTGAGCTGAATTTGAGTTCAGGGGCACTGTCTGCTACAAGGCTGTGCCCACCCAAATTCTAATTCCCCCAGTAGAATCCCTTCTTTTTGCTTAAGGCTTTGGTTCCATTCATACTGGGAATACTCTGTCACCTGTTTTTTCATTCTTCCCTCTGCACACACTCGCCAAGCACATGCTGGGCTAGGCCCTGGATGGACCAGAATGAAGAGCGCTTGGTTCTCACCCTGAAAAAATTTGCTGTCGAGTGGGAGGCCGATGAGAACACAACACCAGTGCAGTGGGATGTGTGCTGTGGGAGGGAAGCACAGAGAGGCTCTCGGGCACCCAGGGAGCGCTCCTAATAAGGGACACCCACAGGAGACGTCTTGGAGAGCCATGAATGCCATCAGCCGATGCACAGGGTGGGACAGAACCCCTCCAGCAGGGGTGCTGCCTGTGAAAGGCTCTGAGAACCCCAAGTGGCTTAGGTGAGCTGGAGCAAGAAGGGAGGGGAGAAGCGGAGGATGTGGGGTTGCAGGGGCTGCTGAGGCCTTGAAGGCCACACAGATGTTTCCACTTGAGCCTCCAGGTTACATGGTGTCGAGGCTTCAGTTAGAAGGATCCACCTTTAGGTGGATGAGTTTCTGATCTTTTTCCTTATAAAGGGTGTTTTTCTACAAAGTCATAATAACCATACCTGACATTGGTACCCCCATCACAAAGTTACAAAGTGCTTTCATGCAGACCCCTCAGTAAGTGTCCCCGTGCAGAAGGTATCACCAGGCTCATTTCACAGATGAGCAAACTCAGCTCTGCTCACCTGGCAGCTCCGGTCCCTTGGCACCAGCTTCCCTCCAAAAGGGACTCGCAGGGGAGGGGGCACCTGAGAGCAACTTTCTCCTGTGATTTGGTGGCGAAGACATGCAATGGGGTTGGGAGATCCAGGTTGGAACTGACTCTGCCTATTCTGGGATGTAAACTTGAAAAGCCATTTCACCTCCTAATCCCCATTTCTTCTCCTGTAAATGGTGCCAACGCCTGCTCTCCGGGTGCCTGAGGCCTCCTGTGTCAGGGGCATGAAAGCCTTTGGAGCCCTTGTTGGCAGTTAATCTTGTTAGTAGGCACCCCTTGGGGAGGATCTGGGGTGCGCTGCCTGACAGCAGGTGCTCCCTGCCAGATCCAGCGCACACCTGTGGTCTGCCCTGGGCCACAGCCTCCTGACTCAGGGACCAGCAGGCCCTTCCTGCAGGTCGGTGCTCAGGCTGCGTTTGCTGATTGGCCTCACAGTGGATAATGATGCTCCCAGCTGCCCACCTATTGTCGGGTGTTTCCTACATGCCACGCCCTCTGCCGGGCCCTTTACATGTGCAGCACTGGCTAGAATCCTCCTGGAGACGGGTGTGGTTATCTCCATTGTACAGAGAGAGAAACTGAGGCTCAGAGGCACGGCTGGTGGGTCAGGCCCTCACTCCACACTGCCACTGTCCCCTTCTCGGTTGCTTTGTCCTACTCCTGGGTCCTAGAGTAAGATGACCACCAGCTCTCAGCCTCGCTTTAATTCAGAAGCAGACCTCGGGGAATAGCAACACTCGTTGAACCCACAAGGTGAGCGCTCCTGTGCGTCTCCACAGTGGGCGTCCCTCACAGCTTCCCTGGCAGCAGGAGGGTAGGCAGATTAATTATCCTCTCGGGGGCCAGAGCGCTCGTGTGACAGTTGAGCAGACAGCTTTTGCTGACGCCTTCAGAAAGTAAAGTGTTTGCTCTGTGAGTTGAATGCGGGGAGTGGTGGCAGGATCCCGGGGAGGGGGCCAGCTGAGGGGGTGGGGTGGCAATAGAATTATTAAATATTGAAATTGATCAGGAGTTGCCGCAGGAAGCTATTTATCATGTTTTATTGCTTCAAACTAGCATTACCATCTGGCCCGTCGTTAATTCAGAGCAGCTTTTCCTGTTTTGTTTGCCTCTTAAATTGCTCCCTGGACATGGAACCCATGGGGGGTGCCCACAGTAGAGGCATGGAGAGATTTTCTGGGGTCTGCCAGCTTTCTGGGGTCTGCTGACCAAGCTAAGGAGATAAGAAAAGACTTATTTTTAGCGCATTCTGACAAGAGAATCCTGGGCTGGGACCCTCCAGGCCTTGCGCCTGCCTTAGCTGAGAGTGTGGAGTAGTGATGGTAATAGCTACAGTTTTGAGATCGTCTCATAACGTCATCATTGCTAACCCTCACACCAGGCCTTTGAGGGGGTGAGCGTATCCCATTTTACAGATGAGGGTCCTGAGGCTCCACAAGCAAAAGCGACTTGTCTAAGACTCAGCCAGTGCATGGCCTCGGACCCAGGACACCATCCCCAGTCCAGGGCCACGCCAAGCAGTGCTTCATCCTGTGATTGACTGAGGAGGGGTAGGGCTTGTGAGGCAGGGAGGTGAAAGGTCGACTCACAGCACACAAGACCTGTGCAGGAAGGAACTGGAGTGGGAGGTGGTGCGGAGTCCAGGTGCCTGTCTCCCCTTCCTTCACGCTGGAGCTTGTACCCGTTTCCATCGCTCCTGAAAGGAAATGACAGGGTCTGGGGGAGAGGTAGTGCGGGCTGGGCATGAAAACCAGGAGTGAGAGCCCGTCTGTGCAGTGACCTCAGGGTCACTGCTGTCTCTGGCCGGTGCCCAGTCCTTGCCTCCTGAGAAGGCTGGTCCAACGCCCTGATTCTCAAAGAGAAAGAGCTTCTGATGCCTCCACGTTCTTAGGACCATCCAGGAAGGTACTGGGTGGCAAAGGAGGGCATTGTGGTTGAGTGGTGGTTCTCCTTTGGACGAGTCAGCAAGGAGACCAGAGGGTCCTTCCTTCCCCCCGTGGTGCTGGGCCCAGGATTCTCAGTTAAGTGCTGGCCAGAGGGGTGGGAGCCATGTTCCAGAGCCGCTGTGGGGCTGACAAGAAAGAAGCCAGAAGGGGGTTCTCATTCCCAAAGGGCACACACTCCTTCATTCACAGGCAGGGACTGGACATGTTAGCAGGTGTTGGGCCCTATGGAAATATATCAAGAGAAATTATATTTACAGATCCAACTGTCAAGAAAAGAATAATAATAGAGACCATTTCCTGAACATTTACTATGTGGCAGAAATAAAAAATACTTGTTATAAATGCTTATTATGAGATAGGGCTCTTATTCCCATTTGGCAGATGAGAAACCTGAGGCTTAATGAGGGGAGGCTGGGATTTCAACCAAGAGCAGCCTGCCCGTTGCCTTTGCATTATTCCCAGTCTGTAGCCTCACAAGTGCAGAGGATGCACAGTTGACACATAGGATCAATCAGGCAGGGCCAGAGCCACAAACAAAGGAAAGCAGCAGAGGAGAGATGCTGTGAGGGTTAAGAGAGAGAACACGTATAAAGCACTTAGCATGATGTGTGACCCAGAAAAGGCACTCACTATGTGTCCTGTATCCCTGAGGGCCTAGCACATGGCCCAGAGCACACAAGAGGATCTCGCTCGGTGTGCAGTGGATGTCTGATGAGCAGATGAATGTCAAAACAAAAAATGCCCGCATCCCCAAAGCAGGGAGATGTGAGTGTGAGGACCATGGTTTAGAGTAGCAGTGATCTGCTTGACAGGGTCTCCCTTTCTTGTCCTCACTGTCCAGCCTAAAACGCCAGCCAGTTTGGATAAGATCATCACCCAGTACCCACACCAGCTGTGTCCAAATGCTCATGCCCTGTCCCCTTTCTACAAGGCAGCGCAGACCTTCCTTCTGCCCTGATGAGACTTCGGTGCCCACTCAGGGGGTTAAGCCAATTCCTGAACCTTTACGAACCTACCCTTGAAATGGAGAAGAAAAAGGGTGTGTAAAAAGAGCAGTGAGGGGGAAACAACTAGTAAGAAAAAGCATGCATGTTATGAAATCTAAAGCTCAGACCATCCTTTTGAATAGGCTTGTTTTCTATTGACTTTGTTTCATTGGGCCAGGTGCACAGGATTGGATTAATCCTAATCCTTGTTCATGAGATACTTCCACCCTGGTCCATGCATAGCCTACTTTTATTTCGTTAACTTACTTGTAATAATGGCATAAGCATTCACTAACTCACTACCCAAAACAAGAGCTAAGACTTGACAGTAACCCACATATAATAGGTGGCTCTTCACGACACCAGCCCATTCCTCACTGCTCCCTCCCAAGGGACCCTCCCCTGCATCCGGTGCTCATGGTCCCTCAGCAGGCTGCCTTCCTCCCTGTTAGACTGTCAGTGACTGTTCAGGAGCTGATGGAATTCAGTAATACGCAACCTCACACTCCCCAACAGGCCAGTGTAATTGTCATTTAAAAAAATTAAAGATTTCAATTTCCAATTTTAAAATTTCTAGCAGAACACAGGAATCCAGCTGAGGGCACTACCAGCACACCTGGGGTGTGGTGGCCTCTGGTTGCACAGCATCAAATGAAGAAATGAGTCTGTCAGTGAAGTTGAAGTTACTTCATGTAAATTGTGCTCACGAGCTGCTCCTCATCATTGAGACTCTGCTCTCAAATCTTCCGAGTGGCCTCTCACTTCTCTGTGGAGAGACGAGGACAGCATCCAGATTGGGCAATGAAAGGAGGGGTCGGCGGTGTCCTCGTTGAGAAACAGACATCTCACTTGCAAAGGGGACATGTGAGTCCAGCACCTGGGCATCTAACACAGGACCAGTGTCTCGGGGCTTCTGGCCCCTAACAACTGTGTCCACTTTGCAACCAGATGTTTTGCTGTTTTAAGATATAAGCTAAAGGTCCCTCCAAGTAACCAAGGGAACAAGATTACAAAGCAAGAAAAAGTAGACTGGAGAGTCCCCCCGCCCCCCACCCATGCAAGCATGAGTGAGGGACACCTGTATGGGTGTACAGCACACATGAGCACATATACACATCCCTTG